TATGATGGGCATGTTTCAGTAGAAATGTAGGATTTCTGTTTCACTGCTTTAAAATCTAAGTAATTGGAAAACGTAGTAAAAAACCTGGTGACTTTTACAATGCTAAGTCAAAGGATTCCAGACAAAATGGTTTAGTGTACTGACTTTTCAGACCACAGACACAGGAACAGAGGGAAAAACTAATAAAATGGCAGAAGAGACTAGAGTCTTGGAACTGGAGGAAGCACGGTGTTGTGTTTTCACAACCTCTAGTAAGAGACAGATTGCTCTGATTCACTGAGGAATGGCCATTATAGAGGAAGAGGTGAAAGTAATGGTAAAATCAGCACTCAAACCAGTAGATGTGTGGGTTCCTCAAGCTGCTTTTGGTTACTAGTTATTACCATGGCATCAGGAATGGGACAGTGAAGTGTGGGCTTTGTTCTTGAAACTATCTCCTCTTCAGGACACTCCATCCACATTCAGAATTTCAGGGAGAGCAGAATAGGACAGACTAGCTGCTATGTGGGCAGAGACAAGCTATGGAAGCTATCATAAAAGTACAGTAAGGACGGTCTTGTTAAGGGAGGTTCTTTAACTTCCTTGAGAGGTTCTTTAACTTCCTTGAGACATCACCAGTCTTCCCAGTCAAAGACCCCCAGTCCCTTGCATGTTTTCCTCCAAAATGTCAAATCCCACTGTTCCACTCTGTCCTCGTGTCAGCAATACATCATACTTCTGTCTTGCAACCCCTCTAGAGGCAGGTAGGATTGCAGAGGTCAGTGGCAGGCTTTTGATCTTAGATGGCTGTATTTATTTCTGTGTTATTTATTTCTTCTCCCCCCATATTCCCTACAGTAATCTTCCCCCTTCTGCAAAGGTTGAATAAAGAGGATAAAATTAGTGAGCCACAATAGGAAAAGTTGCTGTCTGCAGATGAAGAGACAAAAGGAATTTTCTGCTGGAGCTTCCAACAGAGGCAAGAGGTTTACAGGGATCTCATTTTTCAGCTGGCTTCACTCTCTGGCACAAGAGTCCAAGGCTCTAGGGTACTGTGTAGGTTTTTTCCTCTGTTTTTGGAAGGTGTCAAGTAACCAAGTTGCCATGGAGTGTGGAGCGCTAGGTACACAAGAACAATGAATAACTACTTTTGTTGGCTTTGGGACCTTGAGGATTATTTGTGAATCCTCACTGGAAAAGCTTTCTTAGTGAAGCAAGAAGGGATTTGGGAGCAGAAACATGAAGTAACCTTTCTGTGTTTGTATTACATGAGCAAGAACAATTGAGCCTCTCATGCTAGGTGTAAGAGAAATAACATTCCTAAAGAAGGGATCTGGAAACTCGTGTGCTTTTCTGGATTGTTAAGTATCAGTTAACCACAAATTTGGAACAAATGCTTGTTGCAAAACTTTAAAAATTTATGGTCAGTGCTCAGTGATGGACAGAAAAATGCTGGAGCTGAAGTTCAACAGAATATAAACTATGCCAAGAAGAATGCTATCATGGTTTGAGTATGTTGAAACTGATAAATTACTCCTCCAAGTACCGCCCTTCCTGCTGTCATATTCTCGCAGGAGTAGGAAACAGCACTGTCATTTGCACTGTGCACTTTTTGCTGTCTAACTAATAGGATCTACAGTAAGTGGAATGACATAATTTGCATTGCATCTATTAGCTGTAGTCATTGGACAGGAGGTTTATTATTAGCTGGATTTTTCACTGTATACGTTTGGTCCCTTGCTATGTAAGGAGAATTGTACTCACAATTCCTTTTACCAAAAATGCAATCATCATCTGAGAGCACATGTAACAGCAAAAGCCATGTTAGTCACATACATGTTGTCTTTGTAGAACTTAATTTTAAGATTATAAAATGAGAAAAAATGAATTTTTTGTATTTTCAAGGATCTTGCCAGTTGTCCAGTTCTTAGCTTCTGAAGTCTTGGCCTCAGCATCCCTTCTAGGATAAGTTTAAAATTATTGTCCAACCACAGCCTCTTCAAAAGCACTAAATGATGTACTTTTCAAAACCAGCTATAACTGGATAATAAAGTCTCACCACAGGAACTCAGTTTTGGGGGTATTTTTCTGTTTCAGTTTTTAAGGGGCACTGAATAAAGACTTTTGCATGTTTAGAGAGAATATTAGATACCATTTAAGTTCACAATAAGGAAGACTACAGGTACTGGGTAATGTAATAAACTCTACCTATTGCCTGTAGCTCTCCACATACTATGCACTCACTGTGCAGCAGATCGAGAAGTATCTGTGCATTTGAACATTACTGGAGCCCTGCTAACCCTTTGGATTCATGTTACTATGAAAGCAGAAGCCTGGTGTTTTCCAATTTTCCCTCCCCCTATGGCCTAAACTAAACACTAAACCTAAATTCATCTGTATTTCTTATCTTTTTTGGGTAAAGAGGGCTGGGGAAAAGTGTTCATTGTTATATGTCAACATGCTGGTGCTGGCAGGTCCAGGCTACTGCTGTTGGCTTTATGGCAAAGTCCTCCATTGTGTCACGCTGAAGCTTCATTCCTGGCACAAAAGGGATGTTTGAAAGAACGTCTCCTTGGGTTAGCAAATACCAGAACTTTTTATAGTAATATGTCCAAAATGCTGCTTGTATAGGAATTGTCACTTTTCTAAGAAAAGAAAAAAAGTCACAAAAAAAATCATAAAACCTCCCCATTTGATGCCATTACATAAGATTTCATTTAAGCTACCTCTCAGTGTGAAATTCAAACATTAGGTAAGTTTAATAAGGTTTTCTCACTGTTACAGTTATAGTGAATAAAGTTATAGTGAATGCCAAAATTGCAAAAGTTTACCACCAAAAAGGAAAAGAAAGTTGTCTTTTTTTTAAATGCGTGTTTGAAAGTATCCAACATTTTCAAGTTATTATACACTCTGTTATATTCTTTTAACTTCTGTAGTTTCAACCTTGCAAACTCTAGCTGCTGAACAGAAAATAAATCATAACCACAGGCTTTCATAATTGCAGTCTGCTGGGTAAAATCAATTTTGTATGCAGCTTTGTCATTTGGATATAGATAGCCTCAGACACCAAATGTACCATTAATTTGGTTGTCTTTTTCTTCAGTACTCGAGATATGAACTTGATGAATGGTATTCTGTAATGGATGCGTGCCACAAAGTACATGGTCTCATTTGCCTTTTCTGAATTTTAATGATCAGTTTATTATTGCAGATGTGAATATTGTTCATACAGCTTAATTTCTGTATAATTGTATAAAATATAAATGGAAAAAATTATAAGTTTTTATCCGGTATTTAGAAATAATGTATAATAATAGACTTACGTTGCGGTTTTACTTACAGAGTACTGTACTTCTTTTAAACTGGATCATATCATCTTGATAGGCATAGATAGATTTTTTTTTTTTGCATGAGTGTGTTTTGGTTTTGATTTTTTTTAATTGAAGTTTGAGTCTCTTAAGTTCTATGTTCAGTGTTTGTGTTTACTACTTGTGATCATGTAGTTGTGCCTTACATTGTGAAAGAATTTAGTCCACTGTGCACTGTAATTCTTAAACTCTGTGATTTGGAAGGTTGCTGTGGATTTGGATGAGAAGATGACACCATGCATCAACTGGTTCTGTATAAATGATAATGAAATGTTACTGAAATGTCAATTTGTTTTCTAACCTGTTGAAGGAATTATTAATAACAATAAAAAAAATTAGACCTTTCTAATAGACCAGTTATGTCATTCAAAACTACCTTGCCCCATTTCAGGCAGCAAAGCTGCTTTGAAATGGGGGATATACAGTTTTTACAAATGAACTGTTGCGAAGCTACGCATCTAAGAACAAGTTAAACACTCCAGTTTCTTGGACTTAGGGGGAGCTGCAACAAAAGCTTTCACGTTCCCGAGGACAGGATCATAATGACTGTTTTTCAAATCTGTTTTTTTCACAGGTTAAATTCAGAGTAGGCTTTCCATTCCCAGTAGCTGTACAAGGTTTCTGGGTATCCCACATTTGATTGGAGTCCTTCTGCCAGTGACTGTGTTCAGACATCACATTCAGTTGGACAACTGGCATAACTGGAAGACTCAAAACTAGCACTTGTTTTATTTTTTAGACTAACGAAAGTCTTACTTGTGAGATGGAAAGCTCCTTTGGGGTGGAACTGTGTTGCAGAGAGAAACCAGATGATTAATGTGGGAGATCAGTCCTATGAGAGACACTATTGAATTGTGGGAGCGTTAATAAAAAACTGTGTTTGGCTATTGAAGCAGATCTTGCTTGGGGGTCTGTGTTAAAGTGGACAAAGATGGAGAGAAGAGGTCTCTGAAAGGCAATTTGAGTTGGGAAGTCAATTTCTGCCTCGACTGTTTCCTGAGATATCTTTCTCTTGAGACCACAGAGGAACCTGTTGAGCCTGCGTCTCCATGAAGACAGCCTGTGTGTGACTACTGTCCTCCTTGGAGACATGCTGGCCTCCTGGAATTACAGAACCTCTGGCACTACTTGTTTTGTAAAGTGAGCAGATGTGGCTTAAGGTTGTTTTGGTAAAAAATATACAGAGTGAAATACTCACTTCCTTCTGCCAGCACTCAAAGCACAGAGCTTAGTCTGTCAGGTGTCAGCATTGGTTTCAAGATACTGTGAGCCTCTGGTGAGCACTAGGTGTGATGCAGTGTGCAGCTGAGCTTGAGACTGGGGACATGGAGCACGGCCATGTCAGCCAAGTTGTGGCTAAATGTTTGCAGCTTGTGTGGTGTCCCTGTGCAGATCTGCTGTCTGCACTCTGTTCTGCTCTCCTGCTTTACACATTCGCCACTTGGCACGGAGCCTGAGTGTCTGTTCCTTTCCCAGGAAGCTTGCCCATCATAGGCACAGGGGAAGAGCAGGAATGTGTGTATTACAGCAGCCTAGGCTGCATTTGGAGAGATTGAACCAGGTAAGTGTATACATATATATACATATGTACACGTATATGCGAAAAACATTGTGTGATATTATAGTTTAGTAGGTAGAGATGCATAACTATCAGGAGCTATGGCTACACAATTGTAGTTTAATGAAATTTATTAATACAGTTTGAATGATGGAATAAGCCTTCTAGACTTCTCTGGTGAATGAATTCTCCTCACCAACACAGGGCTTTTTTCCTGTCACGCTTTCTAGGAAATTACGAGCTGTATTAAAGCTTCCCTGGATGGACACAGTCTTCCCTAAATGAAGCAAAAGAGCTTCTAGGAGCCATAAATTTGTTTCATGGCTCATTCTCCCCCTCCAATTTATTCCTACATGGCATGGTCCGAACTGCTCACTTTCGTCTAGTCAAGTCAGAAATCTATTAGTTTCAGAAACTTAAGGCATTCTGGAAGAGATAACTGTGTTATCACCACAGCAATCTTCCACTGGCTGTGTCAGTGCAGTGCTGGCATTATTAAATTTCAGAGGATTCAACTGGGAAGCAGAACTCAGTGCTTTTCTTGGTTTCATGTCTTGTGGTGTAATTAGCAATTGCCATTTCTATCTGTGACTTCCATGCTTTCTGTAACAAGAAAAAATATTTGTAAACCAAGACAACCTAAAAAAATTCCATTAGTTCAGATGCATAAACACACAGAGCCTTTAGTTTTATTTAGCCTTTCTTCAGGCTCTTTCTCAGGCCACTACACACTGCTGGAATCTGTGTCTGTGGCCAGAGGTTTCCAGTGTATGTTTCCTTTTTGATTGGAAGGTAGGATTTGTTCTGTTTGCTTGTAATGGTGAAGTTTGTTGCAGGCTATTTCACCCGTTTTTATGTGATGTTTATTAGTTCCTCTGTTCCTCTGATTAAGACAGCCCCAGTTCTATTTGCAAGTTCTGTTCCCTTCCAAGATCTGCCATGTGCTGCCATCTGAATTCCAGTTTCTGTCATTGTACTGACAACATTCAGCTCTATAGTTGCTGTCATCCAGGCGTGAGGACAGGGGGTGATGGCTGGAGAGATAATTTAAAATATGTAACTTCCTTCTCTCTCTGCTAATGCAGATGGTCTGATCACAGAAGCTGATTTGTCTCTGAATTGATTAGATATTGGACTACTCTTAAAAGGATTAATTCTTTGGACTAAAACTTTTAAAGGTCTCTTACAACCCAAACTATTCTCTGATTCTATGACATTGAGAAGATGGTAGCCCTGGTGTGAAGGCAGCTTTGAAAAGGAAAGGTCGTATTTCAATAACAGGAAAAGGTAACAACTTCTTGAGTAGATACCTGTTCCAAGTACCAACCAGTGACTTGGATATGGAAAGAATTCACTCATTTCTTTTCCTTGAAAAAGTCTACTGCCATTTACTTTTAAGCATTAGTATTAGTGGTGGTCAAATTTCTGTGCATTCGGTATTGCAGAATGAAATTCAACTTACATGAGAAAGTGGAATACTGTGAAGTGCTTGACACACTTTCAGATGTTATATACAGTGCTGTTATTAGAAATGGGATATGGTGTGAAAATGAGGGGCAAATTTATATAACAGTGAAATTAATCATACCATCTGTTCAGTCGGAAACTGCAAGATGCATGTTGTGCTAGATGAGCATGAGACAGTTTTCTGATCTGAGTACTACTGCATGTGAGTTGGTGGGCAGGGTTTGGTGTTGACTTCTCTGGAGGGGCTGACCATCTTCATTTCTGTGACAAAAGAAATGGCTCTTTTTTTTTATTTTTTTAAGCAATCAGAACTGATAATGTTTTTCAACAAGAATATGACCTGCTGTCAACCCTGATATAAAGCTGGTACATGTTCAACAGCAAAAATTCTGTAACAAATGTGTGAGCCAAAGCGCTGAGGTGTTACTTTGTTTTGTTTTGGTTTTGGTCAAATGTCACAACTGTAATAGATTCCTATCACAGCATGACCACTTTTAGGCTGCCAGCCTCCTTTGGGGAAAGTGTAGTTGTATAATTAGAGAAGAAAAAGAGATGTGCTACTTACCTTGGCAGTCTCTGTTGGAGCTTGTAGCAAGAAGACCGCTATACACTGCCGATACCTGTTTTCATGCTGTATTAGGAAAGCATTTCGCAGGCTGAAGACTGTGGAAGAATGTGAAGTGATATAGGTGCACCTCATACAGCTATCAGTCCCATTTTATATCACATCGATTATGACTGAAGAAATGATATATGTAATCATCTCTTCAATCCTGATAGAGTCAATGTTTTTGTTGTGTGGGAAGCTTTCTTATTTCAAAATCTTAATTCTACTTGCATTTGTTTTATTTTTAAATACTTTATCATTGTGCAGCTAAGGTGTTTTTAAGTTTAGCTGAGGATCATTAAGAAATATTTCCCTTCAAAGTGGACTAAATCATAACTGAAGTTAGGGGAGAACAAGTATCAAAAATTGAAGAGAAAGGCCCTATTTTTATTTTATTTAAATGAGTCTGGATGACAGCTGCCACATAGGGAAGTGGCTGCACTTGGGCTAATGGTGGGTTTGGGTTCTTCCTGGGTGTGTGCCTGAGCTGGTTCTCCTTCTGCGGATGCCCCCAGTTGGCTGCTGGCAGCAATACCTTGCAGGGTCAAGCATGTTGCCACTCTGTTTCCTGCCAAACTTTTGGTCCTGAACATGACTTTGAGCATCATGTGGAAGATTTCTTTGCAAGGGGACAAATTGACACGAATGTCACATCCGGAATGAAGGGGTGGCTTAAGTCTGCTATGAAGCAAGTTTAGGGGCAGAGGAGGGAAAAGCATCTTCAGGCAGTCAAAACCCTGTGGCAGACAACAGGCATACTTGGATGGGCTGGTAGTAGCAGGGAGGGGAGCACAGCAACCTGTTTTAATGCTCTGGATTCACGTGACATTGCTTTTTTTTTAACTGGAGTTGATATTACTCTAAATGAAGCAATGGTGACCGAGGTGTGGGATTGCCTCCCTGTGAGCGCTCGCCCTAAGCAGAGCCCTGCTCCTGAATCCATGCAGCCTGAGAAGAGCTCAGATCTCAAGCTGCTGGGACAAGGCAGCATTTGTCTGAGCCTACTGCAGTTGACATATCTTTTTGATAAATTCATCTAGTCCATATAGCTTGAAGTCTTGTACTACGTACAATATCTTGCTGCTGTGTAATGCTTCCTGTCCAAGCATTTCCAAGTGCTCAGAATGTTTCTGCAAGATGAAGAGCCCTATAATCCTAGTTTTTTAGAAAAGGGAAATGGAGCACAGACTGGTAAAGTACTGCAGCAAATCAGCAGCAGAAATTTGTAGCAGCAGAGGAAATATGTTTCTGAACTCATGCCTTCTGTCTGTCTGTGGTCAATAGGAAACAGAACTTTAGAGTTCTAAAAATGAATTTTCTGGGCAACGCTTGGCATCAAGGTCTCAATAATGTTTTCTAAAAGCAATTCTGTGGCTGCAAAGATTACCAGTCTTTGATACAGTAACATACCAGTGGGTCTGGCCCTTTCAAATGTAGTGTGAACATTATTAATGGAGCAATAATAAGTAGTTGCAAAAATTAAATCCAGAGCGGAATGATAAAAGGAAAGTGATCTTCTAATCAGAAATTATGTTGCTGCTTACAACCTTCAGAGATGTGTTCCTACTGTAACACTTACATGTAAAATTACATCTCTTGTAACTTTGTTATGGTGTTTGCAGATAGTTCTGCTTTTAGGGTAGCTTCCTGGTGTTATGAGCAAACCATTTTACCTCTTATCCCTTCACTGATACATAGGTGGCTTTGGACTAGAATTATCTCGCCTAATTTTTAGCTTCCTGCCTGCTGCCAAGAGGGTATTTCTATGATATCACAACATATATTATTTTTCTAGTACTTGTATTGAGCCTTGTTTATTTCCAAAGTGAGTTCAACCCTCAGCAAACTAATGGATGCAAAAGTTAGATCAAAAATCAGGATTTCATTTTTGATTAATGCGATGGATCACATGCGCTTTCTGAGAACATGCTAACTAATCTTTTAATGCTACCAGCAGTGAAAGTCTCCTTGAGACTGCAAATAGATTGGCAATGTTCCCCAAGGTCATACATTCCAGACAATATTTAATTATTTTTTTTCCCCTGCAAAGGGACATTTTCTGTTGACACTAGAAGGTTTGCTTGTTGTTTTACACAGAATGGTGGAAATCTGAACTGCAAGCTCTCTATAGTAATTTTTCTCACTATTTTTATTGTACCCCTCCCCAAGGGGTCCTGTATTAGGATGGGGCTTCCAAGTTGTTGCAAGACTACACGTTAGTAGCAGAGACTGCCATAGCTACAGCTGTAGCTGTAAAGAACAGCTGTAGCTGTAGAGAAGTCAGGCAATGAGGTCCAGGTTGCAGGTAATGTCATAACCAGTGGACAGAACCTGGGCTGGGATGCAGAAGGCAACTGTCTATTCTGATGCTGGATCACAAAGATAGAAAGACCCTGATTAGAAATCTCTGAATGTAGGAAATGCTGTCATGGAAAAAAAAAAATCCAAAAATCTTATTCCCATTCCCATAATGGATTTTTTGGCCAGTCTTTTAGATGCAAACTGGAGGGTGGCTGCAGAAGCTGTTGACCTGGCACCTAGCCTGGGCTTACGCAGGATGTGGGGCTGCCCTCTCCTCCACCCTGCAGGCAAGAGGTAGCTAATGTGTTTGCTCTGTTTCTGCTGGGTTCATAGGGAGATGACTTAGGCAGGCAGACAGTGCTGGAGCACATTTAAAAAAGGGTTGTTATTCTGTGTTTATCCCCTTATCTCATATTTAGTCATTTGCCTTTTATTGCCTAATTTTATTTCTTCTCAGCATTGATGCTGAATGCTAAATAGTCTGGGTGAATATATTTCAAAGTTATCATAAATTTTACAGGCTCTAGGTTTATTTTCCTTATCTATTGATTTCCTACAGAGCACTCTAGCTCCCTAAGCTTTTCCTCTCTCTTTAGGATTAGGATGACCCTGCAGCCAAGAGATTTGTATTTCTTTTAATTCTCTTTGATATAGGAGACTCCTGTGATCTTGGCAGTGTTAGGCTGAATCACAGAACCATTAAGCTGGAAAAGACCTCCAAGATCATCAAGTTTCACCTTTGACCAAACACCACCATGTCAACTAGATCATAGCACTAGGTGCTATGTCCAGTCATTTCTTGAACACTTGCAGGGATGGTGACTCCACCTCCTCCCTGGACAATCTATTTCAATGCTTAATCACACTTTCAGTGAAAAAATTCTTCTTGATGAACCTGATTGACCTGAACCTCCCCTGGCTCAACTTGAGGCCATTTGCTCTAGTCCTGTAACTAGTTGCCTGGGAGAAGAGACTGACCCCCTCCCTGGCTACAACCTCCTGTAGTTGTAGAGAGCAATAAGGTCTCCCCTGAGCCTACTTTTCTCCAGGCTAAACACCCCCAGCTTCCTCAGCTGCTCCTCATAAGTCTTGCCCTCTAGACTCTTCATCAGCTTTGTTACCCTTCCTTGGACACGATCCAGCGCATCAATGTCTTTCTTGTAGTGAGAAGCCCAGAACTGGACACAGTACTCAAGATGTGGCCTCACCAGTGCCAAGTACAGAGGGAGGACGATCTTTTCCCTGGTCCTGCTGGCCGCACTATTTCTGACACAGGCCATTGGCCTTGGCCACCTGGGCACACTGCTGGCTCATGTTCAGCCAGATGGTGACCAGGACCTCTGGGTTCTTTTCCTTTGGGCCGCTTTCCAGCCATTCTTCCCAAGCCCATAGCACCGCGCAGGTTTGTTGTGTACAGAGTTGTTGTGACTCAAGTGCAGGACCTGGCATGTCACCCGTTCAAAGCCTTGGCCCGTTGATGCAGCCTGTCCAGATCCTTCTTCAGAGCCTTCCTACCCTCCAGCCGATCAACAGTGCCACCCAACTTAGTGTAGTCTGTGAACTGACTAAGAGTGCCCTCACTCCCCTCACCCAGGCCTTTTATAAAGGTGTTAAACAGGACTGTCCCCAGTACTGAGCCCTAGGGAACATCACTATTGCCTGGCCACCAGCTGGACATAGCACCATTCACCACCACGGTTAGGTGTGTGAGAGTCTGCATCAGCAGCTCAGACCAAGGGGAGGTCTGATGTTTCATGCCTGGTCCCTCACCCCAGCTCTAATTTGGTGACTTCAGGAATGTTGTTTTGGCAGGGTAAGGCTGGTCACTCTCGCTGGAAGTCAGTCCTCCTCTCCTCCTCACCCAACTGCACAGCACCAGTTATAGGAGGTTGTTTTTCTCAGTGATGCATTTCAATGTCTGAGAACAAGGAAGTATTGATGTGTGGTGGGTGATTTTCATCCTCTCGAGGACTGATGGAGAGGTGAGTAGGAGTAGCAACAGGCGGTAAATCTCCTCTCTAGCCTCCTTGAGAATGGCTTCTGTGCATGTGGGAGGACCCCCAGGAGAACAATGTAGTGAGAAAAGTGAAAAATGCTGCATAACTACTATGGAATTGAAAATGTACTTGGGAAAGAGGCCCAGGGTTTGACAGAGCATATTAGGACAGTTAGGGCAGGGAAATACTTGGCCTGTGAGAAAGAAGTAATTTGAGTCTTATTTCCTCCTTTGGGGTGAATAGATAATACCTGACAGTCACTGGTATGTGTGAAAGTCACTGTTAGAGGCAGGGGGCCATGGGGTGTAAAGGCTGTGGCAGTAGCTCATGCCTCACAGCAAGAGCAGAGCTGTGAAGCCACAGTGGCTGAGGCACTTGTGTTTGCACTCCAGGCATCTGGGGGGTGTGTGTGGACAAACAGCATCTTATCCTTATACTACCACACACAGAGTGCACTGACGTGGTGTTTATGAAGGCATTCAGATGCATGCAGGCACATACCTGTAACTTGGACGGGTTCAATGTTTTTCAGTATCAGTCTGTCTAGTGGGATGGGCTGGTCCAGGACTGTGCAAAATCCACCCTCTCTTATGAAGGACTGCAGCTCAGGAGTGAGGGAAGGACAGACAGAGATTAAGCTGGTGTCTGAGCCCCCATATTTCTGGGAATAGAAAATGAAGCTGGTTAGCTTGTTGTCTACCATCTGCTCATGAAGTATAGGCACTAAAGAGCTCTAAATCATGTGCTTTCTCTTATCAAAGATATACAGACAGCTTATTTGCCTGAGGAATCTTAGAAAAACTCACTGGTACCTGGAGCTGTCCTGCAAGGTCACACCTTGCACCAAAAAGACACAACAGAAACACAATACAAATCCATAGGCAGAAAACAGCCAAAGACATTCAAAAGGATTTTTTCCCCTTCCCTCCTTATTTTAATAGCAGGTCTTTTTCTCCATTCCTTGGAGGTGTGTTTCACCATCTCCCCTCACACACATGCAGAAGATAGAAGATTCCCAGAGCTCCAGATGAGTTGCAGCCCTTCACAGAAGGTTCACCAACACGTGTATGTGGGACAACCCTCGAAAAGACTTGCCCGAGGGTACCAGGTCCCTTGAATTTCTTCTTCCTTCACCACCACTGTTTCTAAGGGATTGTGCTGCTGGTCCCAGATCCCTCACTGCATGCTTTCTCTATCTCCTTTCTCTCTAAAGCAGAACACCTGCTTCTTAAAAAAAACCACTGCAAGAAGTCTTTAAATCGGACACAAACTTGTTGAGATTTAGCAAAGGTCCATTTAGACTTTTTTTACATCAGCTTCATAAACTGAATTAGCTAGATACACTCCTACACTGAAGCTTTAGGAATTTTGGGTCATACAGTGGCTTTCTTTGGTGGCTAAATACAGGTCTTTATTATTTATAGAACTCTATAGCACCATTCATCAAGAAATATTGTCTTGAACAGAGTCACTATATCTTAGCTTTGAGCTAGAGGAAATCAAGGCAAAGAGAGGACAACAGGCAATGTAGGAACTGAGAATAAAGCCAACCTTCTATAATTTTAGCATTTCCCTCTTTTTTCTTTTTTTTTTTTTTTTTTTTCTTTCTTTTTAACAATTCTGATATCTCTCAGATAAAAAAATCTCAGGTTACTGAACTGAGTCATCCAGGGAACATTAGAAAACTTTTTCCATTCTTGAACCTTTTCTGAGATTTAGAAATCCAGTGTGAGAACAACATCAAGAAAACATTAAGGTCTTTTAGTGTAAATTTTCCTGCAGTAGCATTCCTGTAATATGCTGAGCCTAGAAGCAGGGTTTTGAATCAGTGTTATGGTTTGCTGTTAGCATAAGGTATTATCACCCGTTCTTCATGCTGATTAGTCATCTTATATTTTTGTTGTTAGATCAATCTGCTAAAGTACCTTCAAAATACTTACCAAACTAAAAAACATTACAACTGCAACCATGTATATCTCTATATATTATTACCTTTTTGTTACGTTTAGTTTTGGTAATTAGTAGGAAATCATCAAATAGGAAGAGGTAGACATCAAGGAGTCTTGTGCTTTCTGAGAAGGAAAACAAAAAAAATCAATTTTACCATGTGATTATTTTAAGGAATTGCTGCTTCTAAGATGAGGCATATCTGTGAGTCACTGCATCGTACAAAATGCTTTTAACAACGAAGCCTTGCTTCTGATAGTTTACAACTACTCATTCCTCACGTGAGTCTGTGTCAAACACAGTAAATCATATGTTACTTGGTCATTTTGGCTACTAATACTTGTGCCTTGTAGCAGCTACCTCATTGTGATTAAACAACTACTTGCCTGTCAGGAAAAATTACCTGGATCAATGTTGTACAAATACAACAATCAGCATGCTATAGATAGCAAATCCTGCCTGGTAAGCAGTGAAACTTCTGAAAATGGCAGAGAAACAAGGAAGTGCCACCTTTTCCTGGTATGCTGCCCTTTTCATATGCCTGTGCAGTGATGAAATGTTAATCGATATCATCATACAAAGGTGATAGTAAGTGTTGTAGAAATCAACTTGCTTGTGTGGGCTCACTCTGCTACCTGTGGAGTTAATGGCATGTTGTATGAGAGCTCTGCTCATGAAAGGGAAGCCACCTGGCAGGATAACACCTTCTTTTTCCAAGATATTTATCAGAACAGCAGACTTAGTAGAGACGATGTTGAAAAAAAATTAGGAAATACCTTTGGACTCAGTAATTTTCAGGGAAACACATACTAGACATGGTGCTAGAGCAGTGAGATATGTTGACATCAGTCCACTGCCATGTGGGGCACCTTGTATAGGACAGTCTAAACTGCCTGTTTTCCTATTTCCACATTTTTCAATAAGACAGCAAAGGCTTCCTTTGAGTGGCTGGTTTTGGCCAGCCAAACTGATTTCTTCAGCATCTGGCAGACTGAGTATCCAGATGTGGCAGTAAACAATCATACAGACTACTTATCCTTTTGGCAATTTGCCTGTATCTCAATCTCTCTCTGACAAGCTGTAAATTTGCTTTTTCTTTCATGCACCTGCCTATGTGCTATTGCAGAGGTTCATTCTGGACCTGCCATGACAATGTATAATTCTATTAAGCTATCTCGCAACACCAGGACATTCAGGAACATTACCTGCTAACGTCAGCCTCCCTTCATGAAGGAGACGTCTGTTCGCTGAAGACAAAATGTTTTCACTGCTGTTTTCTCTTAAGCTTTGCTTCAAACACTTGACCCAAAAAAGAGAGAGAGAAAATGAGTATTCTTGCATATTCGATGGTGAACTGGGAGGTAACCAGCAGTTAAAGAAGATGAGCGTACATGTGTTCATATCTCAGGCTAAATACATCACACAGCTGATAACTGAGCATGGCTGTGTTTCTTCAGCAGTGCTATTGCTTAAATGTATTTATGTTTTTGAAATGTTAAGCTGGGGTTTACTTTTCTGAAGTGAGTTTAATAGTTTTTGCAGCTCTGTATGTGAACAGACAAAATCCTTGAGGTGAGACTCACTTGATGATGTTACCATAGTGCTGCTTAAAGTCTGTCTATTTGGGTAAGGGTATAACTACAGCAGAAAGGTGCACACCCAGGTGTGATGTATAATTTTTTGTAATGCTACTAAAATGTAAGTGGAAAGTTCTTTGGCTCAGCTCAAGGAGTGAGAGAGGCAAATAATTTCTAATTAATATCTTTGTAAAATGGTAGTAATAATTACATGTATCCCATTTCATTCTGTCCCCTAAAAGCAAATATTGGAGAATCTTCCTGGACTGTATGATTGCACTCTCTTGGATGCTAGCTAAGCTGTAGTGGGTTGGTTTCTTGGATTTTTAGGCCTTCCTTAGCAACGGAGTCAGGAATCTAAGGAAGTATTCCATATCATTCCTTTCCGTAACACAACATATAAAAAGGCGCAGATAAGAGAGTTCACTCTCTTCTCTCTTCAAAGTTCTTTTCAACTTTCCCTTATGGTACTTGTTGGCTATCGGTCTCGTGCCCATATTTAGCCTTAGATGCAGTCCAAAGCGGGCAGTAAACTCCATCTAAGGCTAAATACAGGCACGAGACCGGTAGCCAACAAGTACCATAAGGGAAAGTTGAAAAGACTAAGCGCAACCCGTGCTGTCATCCAAGGCACTGTGTGTGTTCAGCTACAGTGTTTGCAGCTGGTCCTGTTAGAGCAGAGCCATCCCCAGTAAATAGAATACAGACAACCAGCCAACTTTAGACCACATTATAAAGATAGATAGGAAACTAAATCCTCCCCAGGTTAAAAATGCCCTTTCAAATCTGCTTACCTCTGGGACAAAGAACCTTTTGTCACGATCCCAGACCTGAGGCCAAATTATGACCTCTTGCAGCTGCCTGAACTTCTGAAAGTTGTCCAACCACTTGACTTTACCTTCCAGGTCCCCTGAAATATGTGAAACCTCAGTTACTGCCAAGGCTGGCATAAGCAGTCCTGTTTCTAGAAGATGCTAAATAGTGATTTTCTCCAGTGAAACCAAAGTGCGTCATGTGAGGCCCCAGATGAAATCTTGGCTTCATTGTAAAAAATGCCTGAACTCTTCTTAGATCAGCAGGGACAGAATTTCAATTAATGCATTCAAAGATGCTTAAATTCACTGCTAAATGAAAAGGTTGTGTTTACTAATCTGTCTGGGGAACAGAGGAAATCATATAAAACTCAATAAAACTGTAATCTTAAAAAATATCTTTAAAAAGGTTCTGCCTTTCTAAACTGTGTGGTATAGTGAGAGAAAAATAATTTTCATTATTTACAGCCTGATAAAAGGACTGTTGAAATTACTGAGAATTAATTTTGGAGGAAGTGTTGCCAGAAGTGACTGAAATATTTAACTGGGGTGGGGGTGCCTCAGAATGTGAAAAATGGGGACTGTGTCATTGCAGATTTAGGGCCAATATGGGCAAAGCTTTAATGGACCTGCAACTTCAATTTCAACTTTTCGGGTTGAGTGATATTGCAGATGATGGTTTCAGACACACACCTCCCCACCAGAAGGGTAATGCTGAGACTGCAACTGTTCTTTTTGTCACTGATTCACTGATCAAAAAATGAAGGCAGATCCTTGTCAGGTGTCTGTGAATAAAGAGGGATCACCCCTCTGTCTTTGGTTTCCCAGAGGTCTCTAATTTCTGAAAGGACCTATTTCTTTGCCAGTAATATTCCCCGGATATCCCATGGTCTTTTGGGGCCACACTTAAAACTGCTGTCCTCCCAGTAGACATCTCCAGGCTATCAATAAGATCTCTTTATTTTCCTATGGGACCCATTCTGTGCAGAAAAGTGTGCTTCTTGTGTGGCATTAGGATAGACACCTCATGAGACTTGGCAAGAAGAAAAAGAACCCGAGTCTCTCTTTTAGGTGGTCATTCTGTCATTGGGAATGTTTACCCATGAAGAAGTAGCCCCAGATTTATGTATCTGCAGAATACATTAACTCTCTCTCTTCCTCGTCTCCTGGGGAGATGCTCAAGCCTTCAGCCTCTGGCATGAGGAGAAGGATGGCAGCACAGAGTGGCCCACCATACTGGGTGGCTCAAGGCCCTGGTGTGCTGCTCGTGAGAATGAAGCACTATTTGGCACTTCTCCCTGTCAAGACTGCTGGGATAAGTGTTTTGCTGATGTAATGTCATGTCTGATTTCAATGGGGACTGAATGAAGCCTTTGGGGAATAAATCTATCTGCTGATGAACTATATGACCATGAGACACTTAGAGATGCATTTAAAGCTTCTTGAACAAGACTGAGTTAATACATTATATAGAATTAATAAATTATTTACCTAAAACAAAATGCAGGAAAAAATTAATACCTAGACCAACCCCTTATTTTCCACAATACTTAGAGAAAATCTGTAGCTGAGACAACTCTTCAGCTACTTTACATGGCAGAACCCTGTCATTAGTGAAAGGTCATGGACATATTATTCCCCTTGTGAGTGCAAATTAATCCTATTAAGAATCAGCCACAGAAAAATCCTCCCAGGACATAAATCCCACTCAAAGACTTCTTTGTTTGAGATATTTCTTGGTTTGTTCCAATTTGTGATCTGCTCTTAGTTGTTTGCCTGTCATGCAGATGATTCTGAGAAAATACAAATGACTCGGTGACTTGGGAGTCCTGTGGCATTGCTCAGAGAAGCTTTGACAGCACAAGGTGGCCCAAGTAATTCCCTACAGAATGAGGCTCAGGACTGTAGAAAGGCAGGAACATCCTCATTGCATTTCTGCAGACAGACTGGACCAATTCACACTCCAAAGGACATGCACAAAAAAGCCAGGTAACTTGCTAGTTGGTAATTGCATACTTACATATGGACTTTTCCACTTTCTCCTTAAGTGACTGGATAAGGCTTTTCTCTGTTTCATCAGTGCTCCTCTTCCAGATGTTGTTAAGGAGGAGAGGATAGCGCGTCAGTCGATGCAGAGGAGCGACCAGCAGCTCTGGCAAATGCAACCTCTTGCACTGTTCATTTTGTTCACACCACTGCTGAAGACAAGGAAAACCTGCCTTAGGCTTCGGCTTGCTCCCTGGCTGGGAGGTAGCAAAGAGTTTTCTGCATCATTAGCTGACTCTAATGAGACAGGGACTAGTGAAACATGAGTTTCTCTCACAGAGAGAGCAAGGGCAGTATAAAGGCTCTTGTCATGGTTTAACCCAGCAGGTATCTAAATGACACAGCTACTCATTCACTCTCTCCTCCCTTCACCTCTGTGGGATGGGAAAGGGAACTGCGAAATGAAAAAATAAAGTTTGTGTTTTGAGGCAAAGGCAGTTTAATAAGACAGAATCAGTGGGAAAAAGTAATAGAATTAGAATATACAAAACAAGAGGTACACAATGCTCACCACCCACTGACCTATGCCCAGACAGCTCCAGAGCAGAGGCCCCCCCAGCCAGTTTTCCCTCTAGTTTATATTCTGAGCATGACACCATATGATATGGGATATCCCGTGGGTCAGTTGGGGTCAGCTGTCCCTGCCATGTCCCCTCCCAGCTTCTTGTGTCCCTAGATTCCTTGCTTGTGGGGTGGGGTGAGAGACAGAAAAATCCTTGATGTAGTTTACATACTGCTTAGCAACAAATTAAACATCACTGTTATCAAGAAACTCTCATCTTAAATCCAAACCACAGCACTATACCAGCTACTAGGAAGAAAATTAACAGTATCCCAGCCAAAACCAGGACAGTTTTCTACAGAGGGAATTGCAGCACTCCTCCAGATGCACTTTCTGCATTGCTACTTTCCATTCCAGATGATGTGTCCATGCTATCAGACAAAATGGTGCTCTTATTTATTTCCTGTTTTGATTTTCTCAGGAAAACCTGAGAAAATTAACCTGAGTTAGGTTCGAAGGCCACCTTAGGTTTTAGGGTCACTGCTACTTGCCACTGGGGAACTTTTTCCTCGGCGTGAATGTATGAAATCCCTGTCAGGGAGCAAGCAATGAGAAACTCCAAGGCCCAAGCTGCAGTTGACCTGCTACAAGGACATGTCCTCCCATTTTTGGGCTGCCAGTGAGAAAAGCCCACTACTTCAGGTGTCTCTTTCTAAACCTGTAATGTCGAGGATCAGTCTTAGTTATTTACAGGACACACTGGTCTGCTAATGATATTGGAAAGAGCAGAGTCTTCTCCCTAAGATCTCCACCACTGCACTGGCTGGAGCTTTTGCAGAACCTGCTCTAGTGCTGCAACTTGGTAGAGACATCACTGATAGCTCTTTCCAGCCTTAGAGGGAGATAAATGCTTACTTAATGGTGTTGCTTTGAGAGAGAATTTACAATGTGGCTTGATTTTTGTTTCTTTTTTTTAATTCTGTAACCATTTCACTCTGTTAAAGTGGAGGTCATTGAGTCAAGGGATTATGTGCAAAATATCTAAATTACAGAGGCTATTAGTATGTGTTTTCTACCTGCAAAAATGCAGCCAGTTCCTCCCTTTTGGCTTTCCCTACTTATGTGGTCTAAATTACGAGTATAGACTTTCACATGTGCAGGTGAACATACACTCAAAAGGGGGACTTCTTACTGGTGTTAGCCTCCGCAGCTCAAAAAGTTGATGTGAAATGCTATCTACACAGTCTGAATGAACTTTCCTAGTCTGCTGTTAAAATCCTGTCATAAAGTAGGAGTCCTGAAGACAATAACAACAAAATCATCACTTTACTTTCAGGTAGATGCCAAAATCTTCTCTCAGTCTCAGTTTTTCCAAGTAGAAGACAGCGGAAGTATAATTAAGGCAATAAATCTGGTGTGTCTGGCAGAGGTCACCCTGGAAAAACTGCAAAAAAAGACTTGGAAATTTATCAGAAAAGGAAAATATTATGACAAAAGGAGAAACAATGGTTTTGGTTTTGTAATATTTTACCTGAGATTTCATTGTACCTAGGAAAATAGGGGAAGAGGAAAAGGGGGAATTAAAAAAGTACAGAGCAAGTTAAACAGTAATAGAAGTGTAAAGTAGTACAAAAATCAGTCATGCAATGCATGGGAGCACAGTTCTAACAGCTCTACAGAGGTGTGACACATTTTTAGACTTTGTTCTCATTAAAAATAAATGATGTGAAATTCATGTAGAAGTTGAAGATAAAACCACTACCTATGAAACAGCTTTGATGACTTCATGCAGCTTAGTATTTTATTGTTTGAGTATGCTAGATAGCTCTTAGAAATAATAGCATAACATCATTTAGGTTGGAGATGTTGAATGTTGTCCATCATAAAATGCAGTTTTGTCTGGGATTTTTTCTGTCTCACACAAACATTATCAATAAGAATGCCTGAAGTCAGAGATAACAGGGTGAGAAACCAAGCTTTAGCCTGCCTTTCCCTGTTAAAAATCTTAACACTCAGGTAGGGTCTGTTTTAGTATTTCCCGGAAGTTTTCTAATGGCCTCTACTGCTAGGGAAAGTTCAGGTCCATCAATTGATTTTCTGTCTGTATTGATATTTCCAACTTTACAAGCACTGGGAAGTTGTGTGGGAATTAGAGCCCTTAGAGAATTACCACACAGACTACCCAAAAAGGTTGCAGGGCAAGCAAGGCTTGGCAGCAACAGGGCAGTTGTGTTTCTGCCTCTCTCTTGCTTAGCAGACACAGGCCAAAGCGTAATAGGTATTTCAGTCCCATTGAACTCTTAATTAAGCACTTAAAAACATTTGTGGGTCTGGTCCAGGGAGTAAAGGAGGATCCATGTGAAGGGGTGGAAGGAGGCAGGGAACATCTAGTGATGGGGCTGGGGTCTGGTCTCGGGGAAATACCTTCCGTAGAGCAGGAAGCTCTCCTCTGCCAGTGGCCAAGACTCCTCAGGGTTTGGGCTGCTCTTCCCCAGGAAGGGAAAATCTTTCCACACTTTGTTCCACATACAGAGTACATTTCCACAACTGCTTCAAACATGTTAATGAATAAAAAGAAAAACGTCCTGCTAATAGGAGCTGCTTGAGGCTGAGACCAAACTGCCTGTGACAGACAGCATGTCCTTGACTGACTTGATTGTTCTAAAGCACCTGCATGCTATGATGAATGGTCTGCTGCAAGGACCTACTGCTATTGAAAGCAAAAATATTTCTGATTGTATTACCGTTCTGAGTACGGAGCTGAAATCCAAGGGAGACTCTGACTTGCTGATATGCTCCTTCACAGTTTGAAAAAAAGTTTTCAGAAAACTGAGACTTATCTAAGTAAGGAGGAAAAAGAGAGAGATTAACATCAGTGACCTGAAGTTAAGATTAAAACAACTTTCTTTCCCATTCCTGGGCTCTCAAAAGGCTCCAAGCCTAGTGGGTGTCTATACTTTTCTCTCTGACATTGCCAGAATTATCTTCAGAATTATGCCCAGAATGCTTGAATTAGTTGGAAACTAAGACAAATCTACAGAAATACCCACTTGTGATAAAAACTTTGAAACAAGATTAGTTATTCCATTTAAACTGGTTTTAGGGTAGCAGCTGTATTTAATATAGGTTGACATGAAAATTGACAATGGGTGAATGGTGTCTACTGAAAAACACTAATTGTTTGTGTCATAGGTGTGACAATTAAAGAAGCCTTCAGACTCATTTGAGGAAGAAACCATCTTTCGTAGTTTGAGTTTGCCTCATGCAACTGAAGATAGAAGAAGTTTCTATAAAATACTACAAAAAGTCACATGTTCCCCGTAAGTTTGAATTGGCCTCAAGAGTGCCCACATTATAGGTCAGAGGGGAGTCAGAGCCTGTTCCTAAGCCCACACTTGCCTCCTGAGCACAATATTTTCACACGAATTCATGACTGGGCTCAGTTTTAGGCCAAATTTTAGGCCAGAAGGGCACGTCATCCACTGTGATACTGCTAGGGACTGCACACTGCTTTGTTTGATGTGGTTTTGGGGGCAAGGTTGCTTATAGGATGATACCTACTCTTTAATTTTGACATTTACATCTTTTACAGCATGCATTTTTTCATGGATTCAGCCTGCTATCAAGAAGAAACACATGCTGTAAAATTCAAGAAAAAAGTCATAAAAGGCATTGACAGCAGCTACTTTCCCCTACATTTAATCACTATTTTATATGCCAGTACGCATAACAGATGATCATTTGTCATCCTCATTAATAAGGACAACAAAATTAGAAAGTAAAATAGGAAATGTATTAAAGATAATTCTCTCGAGACATGACCAAGCTCCAGCCAAGTTCAGAGCACACAGCAATATATACCACTCTCTTCTTTGAATGAGAACAAAGAAATCAACAACCACAGATCTGCTGAACTCTAGTAGTTGCCTGCATTTATGGTCTTAGTCCACAACAAACAAAAGGGGAAACATGTCAGCTAAAAATCTCTTTCCTTGTATCTCCAGACCTGCTCGGTTGGTCACTCTGCAGCTCACCAGGTGCATGGTCTGTCACTGAGCAGCAGTGCCTTGCTCATGTGTTTGAGTTCTGGTTAATTGTCCCTACTTTGAAGACCTTTCCCAATTTTCTTGTTTTGGCTAAAGAAGGAGATACTCACTATTAAGGCAAGGGAAATACAATACGGGAAGAAGCTTGAACTCAACAACTGGTTTAGGGCAAGTGATGTGATTGTGAGCAGTCATTCAATTAAGGCAGCTGAAGACTGCTTTCCAAAATTCATTTTGCTGTTAAGCGTAAGGTGTCCTATAAAAGGGCCCTCAAACTAAGAAAAACTTCTGTTTTGCTTCTAAAGTAAAATGGATTTATAGTTTTCTTAACTTTCAGGAGCTGAAAATGGTCTCTCAGCAACTGGCCAGAAGCAGCAAAGAGCTGGAGCACATCACAGCCAAGCCTTGTGGTCTCCCTCCTCCTGGACCATGGGAGGTAAGTAGCACATGGACACAGAGCATCCAGTCTGTGTGGGAGAGATCCTTACACACATGCCAAGGGAAACCTCAGCCGCAGAAAGGAGGTCACCGTTTTGTTTTAACTTGCTCTATTGGAGTGGCATAATAGACAGCAAAGTCTTTGTGCCTGTCTGTTTGCAAAAGGGAACTCATTGTAGCAGTTATTCTGCCATGCTTACTGTTTTGCTGTAAGGATTGTGTAGGAGGAGTTTATCTTCACAAGTCCTTTTAAAAGGTCACTGCTTATGAGAAATAGTCTCAAACTTGTATTTACTTCATAAACAACTGCCAAATGAGCTCTCCTCTGTGTTTAAAGTGCCTGTTTATCTTTTGCTGGAGACACAAGAGAATGATTTGCACTGGTTATATTTGACCCTCACTGATACACCAAATAGAAATGAGAACACTGATTATTTGAACAAAGTTCCAAATGTGAGCACTGAAACTGAATAGAAACTTTATGGATGGTTTGTTGTCTTCTTTTACTGGGCTGGTTGATTTCTGATCTCAGTAACACTTCTGTTTTTTTACTCACCTTGTTTAACTCCTCTAAGTTTGCAAAAAGTCTCCACAAATCCACATCCAAGAGAAATTCATTACTCTGGAGGTATCTTAGGGTGTTCATAAATATCTTTAAAACCAAAACAAATTCATATTATATACAATTTGTGCCAATTCAGTGTATCTTCCCCCCCCAGAAAAAAAAAATATAATGTATTTGTACTGTAATTATTAAGAAATGATCATTTGATTTGGGGAGGGCAGAATATGGTATTCTGAGAATATGGCATTCTGAGAAAAGTTTCCTGATCTGACTGAAGGCTAAATATTGGGGTTTGTGTGTGGAAGAGGGTATGAGTGATGTCTCTGTGGTTTTTTTGTGGCTACCACAGAAGCAGCTATGTCCCTGCTGTGACCTCTGGCAGAAGAGGGGCAACTGAGACACCTGAAGATTCCCTGCATGAAGGAATTAGTAACATCAGGGCACAGTTACACATTTCTATGACCTTTCTAAATGTTTTCCTTCCTATTCCATGCATTTAAATTGTTTAGGGTTACTATGGGAAAAAAAATGTATTGTTGGAATAATGTGAGTAGAGGCCCTGTGAAGATTTTTTATCTCTTTGGATTGTTTTATTAACCTCCATTGCATGAAAACTGCATGTGTATTTATTAGCTGTTTAAGATTTTATGTTATTTAAGCTGATTGAGCTGTACTGAATCTGACCTAAATCTGACAAAAGGCTTAAAATTTATGGATTACCAAATAGATTTTTTTATGTGTAAAAAGCATTAATGAAAAACGCATCACCCAGATGCCAAGAGTGAATAGCTGGTGAGAGTGTTTGCTTAGCCTTGTGTAACTCTCTAGTTACCATGAGGAGGTTGACCTGAGAGCTTAAAGGGAATTTTTGGTGGTCTTAAAGCTGCCTGTGGAGATTCATTAAAATCGGTGGAATATTTCTGTACTTTGAAGTAAGTAGGTATCTGTAAACTAGTTACCCAAATGCAATGGGTTCTTTGGCAGGAGAGTTTGGGAAGCTGGCGTGGACTGAATAGTTCATCATTCATGGGTCACGCAGAGCTGGCTAAGGCTTGTCTGTGGTTTCCTACATCAGACTCACCAAGGGGCCTGCATGTTTGCTATTATCATCCCTCCAAGTATTCACCACTTTTTAATCTTTTCAGCTTTCTGAACAAAGTGTACAGAAGGAAAGATCTTTCCTTCTACCTAGGACCAATAGCTGGTCCTGTCATTCCCTTTCCTCTTACTTCCTGTCCTGTCCCATCAAGGAGGAATTCAGCCCACTCCTCTGTTTCCATTACTTTGCAATACTTCTTGTACTGTCCAGGCTAACTTTTCAGCAATATGGAAAATGTTTCACAAATCTCTTTCCTTTGACTAATAAAAATCAGAAATTGTCTGTGCAGAATAAGAGAAAAATATAAGAAAATATTTATGGAAGTTTCCATCCTTTTAAATGGATACATTTAATTTTGATGTGTAGTGACTTTAAATAGTGCGGCTATTCTTGTAACTGTGTGTAATATTCTTGTTCACATTGCAAGCTCTTCATCAGGATGGAGGTAATATAGATGTTTTGGGAGAGGAGTTGCTTTTAGTATGCTTGTTTTCATGTAATATTAGAACTACAGGTCTGCTAAGTTCTGAGGATTTCATGCTCTGGTCAGGATAATTTAGCTATAGCTCTATATGAAGTTAAATGAAGAAGATAATGTTCCATACTGGTAGTACGGAAACATTCAGTTGAAATAGTCCAGTACAGAAATAGCCAATTGGAGAGTGGCTTCAGTTCAGTGTTTGTGAGAGGAATAGTGGGATATCAGTTGAAATTGCTGAATGAACATGAAATCAGATGGTAATTGCAAAGCACTAGACTGCATCACTAGAAAGTGATGTTTAGAAGAAAGATGCCAAAATAAAGGTGGAAACCAAAGGGAACTGTGAAAACAGGATGAGCGGGCAAGATGGTAGAAAAACCAAGTGCTTAAGTCATTCCCCATAGACACCTAATGAGAAATTTCAGGTGGCTTTGTGTCTGCCATGCTGACAGCAGAACAAATAATGTAATTATTTTTGTGAAGTGAAATCTGAAGTTACCATCTTGAGAACCAACAAATGATCCAGAAAGTAAGTGCATTCACTTGTGAAAAGTTCCCACACTGCTGCTTCTTTTTTCACTTCTAACCGGCTGTCGACATCTTTCTGCTCAGTCTGTTGTCCATTTATAAATTCATGCCAAGATTTACTCTATTGATTGAAGAAGAAAGAAAACCACGAATTGTTTCATCAGCTGCTTCAGACCTTATGAGAAGAATCTATGTTTTATTTCCTGTATAAAGAGCTCATCTGCCAGTATTAGTGATTTTTCTTCTGAAAGCTTAAAGATTTCTTAAAAACCTGACATTTTTCTCCAAAATATTTATAATATAAACACAGTGAATTTGAAAGTAATGCAGTAGGATAATCTATGTTTATGGGATGTTGTATCAAAAAATAGTGTGCAGCTTGCAGACGCTAAGGAATTGAATCTATCGTGCTGCTGTTGGAAATCAGGGATGGACAATAGCTTCTTGTTTTCCAGATGATAAAATCAAGGTACCAAAGGACTATGTCTTTATAGTCACTTGGAAATTGTTTTGTTTAGTCTTAAGGTGGCCACTATCATCTTACTGACCTGCTCCAACATCAGTTGTCCACATATAAGTTAGGTACTGACAGGAGTCCTCAACTACCGTGTCTCTGGGAAGCTGCAAATAACAGCCTGACATGAGAAGCAAAAGGTTGGCTTTGGAGAGGGGATAGTGTTAGGTGTGGGTTATCTGAATATCACCCTTGTAGCCCAAGCTTGGTGTTTCTGTGGCTAGAGGCCAGCAGCCTTGTTTATCTGGCAGACAGGTTTTGGTGGGATTTCTGCAGCCGAACCTTGGTGTTGGCACTGATCTCTCTGTGGCTACCTCTGAACACAGCCCTAAGGCAGCAATGGGGGTGACTATTCCCCAAGTGACACCTCTGTTATGCTGCAGTTTCTTTCCCCAGACCTGCATGTGCTGCTGAGAGGGTTGTCTTGAGGCCTTTTTCTGAAGGTGATACTTCCCTGACCTAAGACAGTCTGAAACCCTGGCAAAATCCAGATGGTCTTGAGGGCCCTTGCTAACCTTCTATGACCCTCAGTTTTCCCCTCGCCCCTCCATTTCAAATGACAAAAATATACCTTATGTATTAATATACCTTATGTATTAATGTAACTTATGTATTAATTTTACAGAAAGTTTATCCAGATTAATGTGCTGAAAAATGTTAACTTAAAAACAACACAAAATTCCTCCCCCATTGTTAAATATCCTTGATACAGCATACTGAGTATTTTGATACCTTAAAGCAGAAAAATTCATATGTGCAGCAGTCTACGATCTTAACAGTTGAAAGACAATTTTCCAGATCAGATGCTTGCTTCTGTTTTTCTTTACCCTGTTGAATGACAAAAAACCACCCCTAATTCATACTATTGAAGTTTACCCAGCTCTGTAACCTTGCTCTAATCTAAAAGAAGTTTGCCCTTCAGCGAGTGGTTTCTTTATACTTCCCAGTTCTCCTAAATAGAGACAAGGCATTGATGACAGGTTTCTTCATACGTAGGGGTGCAGTGTGTAGGTGCCTTACATTTGGATGTGTAAGATCTTATATATGTAACACAATGGGCTATGCTCAGAAAACTGAACAAATAAGATATTTTGCTTCCTTTAGCACTGTCAGACGTAAGTAAAACAGATTCATAGTTGAAATCATCCTCCTGATGTAGATATAAAAAGTTACACATTTGTTTACTTCTTTATTTTTAATTTTTTATTGGATCTATGTATTGAATAAGCTTCCTTGGTCAGCTGTAGAGTAGTCTCTGTAAAATGAGCTTTCAGAAAGCTTAAAGGGCAGCAGGAGTTTGTGTGAGGGATCATGAAATAAAAACAATTGCTTTTGTTTTGGCTTTGTGTTTTCAGGCCATGTAAAAAGTTTAATCATTATTTATGAACTAACTTATGTGCTGTGGGTGCAGACTTATAAGGTGTTTGCCTGACTTTTATCTGCTCTCTGGACCAGTATATTATGTAGATTTCTATTGTCTGAACTTAAGGCACTGAACTCAAGGCACTGAACTCAAGCCAATTTTGAAACGTGTTTGATTACAATATTTGAAACTCAGAGTTTAAGTTCAGCTCTTAATTTTGAAAGACAGCTTGAAATGGAGCAGAAATTTATGGAATTTAATAGCTTCAGAAATCACTTTTTTTCTGAATATCAAATATCAATATTTTATTTCAGATTTCAAAAAAATTACTGAATTTAAAAATTCTCAATTTTAGGCCATGCTCCTTCAAATGCTATAGAACTGCTATTAAAAGAAGAGGGAACTCTTGTACTTACATTGGTTTCATTTGCACCAAGTCTTCTTTGATAAAATGCAAAAAATATTGGAAAGGGACTGTTCACAATTACATGCTTGGGGGGGGGAAGTTATCAAGACACTTGTAAATAATTTTTTGAATCCCAAACAGTATGCAGAAAGGAAATTCAGATACCTCAGTCAGTGAAAGTTTTCATAAATGGAAAAGACAAGGAAATGTGTTAGAAAAGGATATTCACTGAATTGTGTTAGTGTGTATGCTTTTATTAGCAACTGTGAGGGCACCCATGAGGACAAAAAAGGCCTAAGAAAGCGTTTGAAAAGCTACTTTGACAGGTAAAGCTTAGATTTCTTCCATGTGAGTGGGTGTTCCGCAGACACTCCAGAGCCCTAAGACATGCAGAAAATACTGGATACACTATGGTCAAAGCAACAATGCAGCTGACCTGTCCACTTTTTGCTACCTTACCCTGCATTGGACCTGCTGCCACCCTTGAACACTCTGTTAGAGACCTCCTGCGTTGCCCATTCTGCTCTTCCCTCCTGGTGCCACAAGACACCTCTCCTCCCACCGCCCACAGGGATAGGGAGCAGTGGCACTGACTCTTTTCATGTGCCTCATGGGCAGTGGCACTGGTGGCTGCACTGGTGTCACCTAAGCTTCATTGCAGATTAATGTCCTAGCATTGCAAGGGTGAGTGGGCTGAGACCTCTGAGTTCAGCTCACCTGCTGGCTGCCTTTCTCCAAGAGCAGAAAGTAAAGAAGCTATTTTTACCCACATTAGTTGTTGGAGAAGGGAAGATTGGTGCAAGGAAAAAAAAAGTAAAATACTCACAACTCCTCTTTTGACAAATGGCCACCTTGACTTTTTGGACTCTAATGGGTAAAACAAATATTATCAGTAAAGAAACAAATAGCTAAAAATAAAACTGTTATTTATATTATTTATATATTTATATCTATTTATATATTTATTTTTGGGTAAAACTTGATAGACTTTACTCTACTTGACTCAGATTTAATACCTGTGTTTGGGTGGTTTGTGCATCAAACTTAAAACCCTAGGTTGTTGATTCCTTCTAGCAAGAATTATGACTATCTGTGATGGGATTTTGGATGATGCTAAACACTCCTACTTGTTGAAGATGATCAGTATTTTATTGCCAAATCTTTACATGGAAAAATCCTCATACCTCAAGCCAATTCTTGAAAATATTGTTTTGAAGCAAGAATTAGTCCATGCATGCTCATTAGTGATAATTTGGAGTTATGCGGAAATTCAGAACTCCTGTGAATAAACAATTGTACAAGCCCTAAGCCTCAGATCTGTCATGGGGCTGGCACTGTGGAGCTGGCTATAATTTGTGGTCCTTGGTGAGGAACAGAGAAAGATGGGGATTTAGATTTAGGAATGCACTGGTGAATGGTGAGGAACGACTGTGTTTAGCAAGAAATCTGAACAGGTTTTCTGTTATGTGGCACCTATTTTCAGGTCTGTGAATAAGTGGAAATCACAGTCAAAACTTTGTTCTTCTAGTTTTTGGAGGTCTTGGCTGTTCTGGGAGTGGCTGGCTTATTTGCTGTCATGGAGCTGCTGGTTGTCACCTTGATTGACTTGCTTTTTGAGAAACTTTTGATCTCTAGTCACCAGGATCTTTGGTCTCCGCTAATCACACTTCCCACATTACTATATTCCACAATAGATATTTGTGGAAATTGCTTGCAGATCTACATTTCAGTTTTGGAAGGTCTTGTGAGCAACCTCTAGCCATGAATTGGGTCTGCTACCCTCTTGAGAACACTACTGGAAAGGGCAGTATGGGCCACTTTCTTTCCTCTGCTTGAAGCTGTGAAGGTAGGAAATTGTATCTCATCTGCTTGCATTGGAAATTGAATCACTTTGATGTGGGGTAACAGGATTCTCCATGGAGGCTGCACTGCCTCATGTTGTCATTGTTCCCATACTCCCTCCCCATCCCACATGCACCCATATTCCAGTCCTGGGTTTTGCTGAGCTCAGAGGAGCAAACCTCTCCCCCCTCCCACGTCTGACCTGCACTTAGCAGGAAGGGTGAGTAGGGCAGGTAGTCCATGGCACTGTCTGATACCAGGAGGTCTCCAGGGAACACCTCGAGTCCCGGCAGACTCACTACCAGGGAGCTACGCCTGCGCTCGGCTGATCTGTGAGACGCAACAACAACACACATCATCTCTCTCCGCTTGAGGCTGCAGAAGAAACTTCTGAAGTGCTCCTTGCTGATACAGGAGGGAATCAACTAAAAAACCAAATCACAGTAGCTATGACGTGATGTGTTAAAAGAACAATGAGTAAAAAATTTCAGTGATTGGCAGCAAATATCAAATTATCTTTCAAACTCCTCAGTGGTGCTAAGATCAAGGTACTTAGGGACATGGCTTGCCTCAGACAAATAATCAGAACATTTAAATATTGAAAATTCCTGAGTTCTTCTGAGATTAGGCAAAAAGTGATTATGGATTTCCTGATCTACATTTTGGCACTGGAGTCCAAAGGAGCAGTAAAATACTATATTCCTAGCTGATATATGTGACTTGTCATTGCTTTTAACCTTCATATAATTCAGATGATTTCAAGAAAAGACAGCACACTAGAGAAGAGTTAAATTTTTTTTTTTTTAAATATTTAACCTTTTGGCTGTTTTGTGCTATTTTCTTTCTAAATCTTTTTGGCATTTTTTTTCTGCTATTTCAAGTATTTTTTTATTT